ACAGTGTAAAATCAGCTACAACACCGCTCACTTTCTCCTTACCTTTGTTGCTAGCATCCATTTGAACAGTGTCGTTATTGGATGTGAAGGTGGCCCAATAGTTGCCCCAAAAAAGTGCAGAGGCATTAACAGATTCTTTCCCCTTCCCAAAAATTAAATCATTTCTCAGTTTCTATCTTGGTTCTGTTGCTATTTGGGAGACACTGTTCTGTTTGTGTATGAGTTGTGACATTGCAGTTACAGTTTCAAACACCTGGTCCATCCAGCTGTTGGAAAATGTCTTCTTATGATCGGGCATATGTGGTTGTTTTTCCAGGAGATGAGTTGTTATTTGGTGGTGCAGAAATTGTGCTAGTATTAGTTTGGCCCATGGAGTGTTTACAATCACTGCAGCCAGAGCCCCCATGGCGGTCCATTTTGACACATGTGGGGATTGAAGTTGAGGAAAGAGGTCTGCATTTGGATGTTGGACTGATATTACAAGCTTGGTACTACCATCTGTGAACTCACTGCTACTCGTGCTTTTAATTTGCAATTGAATATACAACGTGGTTTGTTCAGATTGTGCAGCAACTAGGTAATACTGAACTGAAGGTGAGAAGTGGCCTGGTCAGCTAGAGTTCAAATTCAGGGCATCTAAACCTGAATGCAGGCTTGGAAAATCACCATAAATGCTCCAATTGTTGCCAGAATGCATGTTTCAGAAATTGCAGCAGCATATTTGAGGTGGTAAAATCTATGGACTACACACTCCATAGAATCCTGGTGGCCACATGTATGTCATGGTGGGCTATTGGATTGCAACTTGTGAAGCCAACAAGACATCCTCCTTGAGCAAGTATATGATGTAATGTACACAACTCTTGGAGTGCAGAATTTGCTTGCACATGACAGTATGGACATTGTTGATCCATGCTGCTACGAGCGAGTCACAGCCTAGTCGGCTTCAGGGGTTATTCCAATGCAAAGGACAAGGTGACATTTTCAGGGAAACGTCTCTTCCTCCAATTTTCATGTTGCTACTTTGTTCTGGAGATGTCATTGTGGACTTTTGGTGCCACCAGGATTTGGCAAGTACTTCATGCAGACTGAAGCTAAAGGAGGGAGAATCATCAAGTCCACAGCCTGCATCGACCGGTTTTTCTGCTACAACCTCACTTGCTCCTTCCAGCAAGTCCCGGTCGACCACAGGTTATACCTCCACTGTGACGACGACTACTACTTGACGATGCCCCCTTCTTCGACATTGCTCAAGTCTACTTCACCCCCTGTTTAAGAATTCATCCGATTAACCAGTTAACATGCCGATTAGTCCCTACTCATAGGGTCCCCGAGTAGCCGATTACCCGATAAATCATCCGATTAATTGATTAAATGGCCAATTAGCCTATTAATTCCCTACTCATCAGCCGACCGAGCAGCTACCAGTTAATGATTTCCTCAACAATGACTTCACCAATGGCTACAAACACAGAAACGAGGCAGCTAGCAAAGACATCCAGCAGGAACAGCCACCGGCTGCATTCCCTCTGCCTTCTTGTTGTTTAATTTTCAGCACACTTACGTTTGTACTTTTCAATCTGCACCCAAATTGCTGCGAATCGAAGCGAATCCCTACGAGATGCTAACCATAAACTTATAGCTTGCCTGTATCTAGTTGTTACACAACCTTGCTTACATAACATTACACCTACAATCCGAATAGTCGATCCTAGACAGCTCCAGGATTGGGAAGTAGAAACCGAAACACGCAACATATAGTAGTAAAACAGAACCGAAGCATTAGAAAGACGCCCGCGCTATGTCAGCAAATCGACTTGCCACTACACCATGCTTTGTCTCCAGAGTCAGTCCAGGGTGCTAATTCAGGCAGCACACGTGCTGCCACACATCAAGTGCCTGTGGATTCAAAAAGAGAATGACATGATCAGGACTCCTGTGTTGAGCAAAAAACACTGCAATCAACGCGAATTTGAAATTTTGGAAAATCAGCTGTTTGCATCGGTTATAGTTAACCTCTAAAATCTGATCTAAGCAGCAGCAGCAGCAGCAGCAGCATTTCATAGGTCATAATCGAACTGAACGTGCCAATTTTGAGGTAAGGTGACCGGTGAGCAAGATTTTTCATGGAGCAAATCTGGGGAATAGTTTGCTCACACCATTACAATTTACAGTACCAATGAAGCGAGTGAATGACAAGAGGTGGAGTGCTTACATGATGGAGCATCCAGAGCTTCGCCTAGTTTTCTTCCTGGCCGCCATCACCTCCCTCCTCCTCGGCGGCTGAAGGACCACCTTGATGGCGGTGTCGAAGACAGCCTTGACGTTCTGGCACGGCCAACAGAATCACCAAGTCATTTAAGATAGAAATGAATGATGCAGTGTGTGCGTGTGCCTATCTGAAATAGAGCAGACAACAACAAATTCTTCTTAATTCCAACGCGGCCTCTGGTCTCGGTTGCACTACCTGCTGTGTCTTTGAGCTACACTCGATGTACGCTGCGGCGCCGATCTGCTTCCTGAGTTCTTCACCCTGAACAACAACAACAATGGGGAAGAAGATGGCACATTAGCCATCCGTCTACGCTCCTGGTTGTTGAAAAGAAGTTCAGAAAGTGGGGGAGCAAACCTGTGCGGTTGTGATTGCCGAGGCACCGGGATGGTCGGCGAGGTAGGCTCTGTGGTCACGCAGATCTGGACAACGGAAACGCCATTATTAACTATCGGGACAAAAATGCAGAGCAACCAGTGCCGTTGCAGAAACTTCATGGAAAGGAGTAATGCCATGTTGGGTGCAGGTTCCTCACCTAGCTTGGTCCCAACTAGAACAATGGGGACGTTGGGCGCGAACCGGCGGAGCTCTGGCATCCACTGCTTGACCAGAGAGGCAGAGACCCAATTATCATCAGTTGGGAACATTCAGGTGAAATCTCAAGCACACTCAAATCTGGAACAAGTAATTTCTGAACTAATGTGCCAGTAACTTTTGCTAGAAACGTAGTATGTATGTATATACCTTCTTGAGGACATTCTCGTAGCTTGCGCTGCTGATGAGGGAGAAGGCGAGCACGAAGACGTCGGCGCCTCTGTAGCTCAGCGGCCTCAGCCTGCTGTAGTCCTCTTGCCCTGAACGAAGCAAACACAGCACAAACCTTCAGGTTCAGAACTTGCGGCTCTGAACACCAGTAGCAGTAGCAGTGGTGGAAATGAAGAGGGATGGGGCAAGTACCGGCGGTGTCCCACAGGCCGAGGTTGACGATGTTGCCGTCGACGGAGACGTTGGCGCTGAAGTTGTCGAACACGGTGGGGATGTAATCCTGCCAAGGAAGAAACAGATCGGCGACCGAGTGAGCAGCAAGCAGGCCGGGAGGAGGAAGAAGAAGAGGAAGGGGAGGGTTGGGGGAGGGACGTACGCTGGGGAACCTGTTGCTGGTGTAGCAGATGAGCATGCAGGTCTTGCCGACGGCGCCGTCCCCCACCGTGACGCACTTGATGAACTTGGTCACGCTCATCTCTCCTCCGCCGCTATCGGCTGCTCGCTTGAGTTCCACCGCACAGCAAGAGCGGCTGGAGCTCACGGGGGGAGAAGAACAAGCGCGGGGAAGAAGGGGAAGGAGCCACGAGCCAGAGACAAGGATACTTGTCTTCCGTGGGAGGCCAAAGCGAGGGGAGCCGTGCCGCAGCTCTGCTCCGGTCTGCCTCCTTGAAAGCAAAAGCAAGAAACAACCGGCCTCTGGCTGCGTTTACTGCTGCTGCTGCTGCTCTCTCTCTCTCTCTCTCTCTCTCTCTCGGGGAGCGTGGCGTGAATGCGGGGCCTCGCCTCGCCTGGGACGGGGCGCGACGCACGCCGCTACTACTACGAGGGGTTTTGTTTTGTTTTGGACGTGCAGCTGATCTGCAACGGCATGCTCTGCTGGTGCTGGCTGCTGCCACTGTCAAGTCATCAGCAAAGCCACCGTCGGCAGACCATCACGGCGGTGGATGGACGGCCATGAATGAAAGCACTGCGCGGGCAGGTCGCTCTCTCATGTGAAGCTGGGGCCTACACGGACGGACGACCTGGCCACAAACGCCAAACAGACAGTCGGCCGAAACGTCGGGGACATGGCATAATGTAATGATTCTCTAGTAGAGCAACGGGTTAAACGAGACCGGCCTTGTTTGCAGTCCCAACGGGGGCAATGCGCTGACAGTAAATGTAGTACAGCTTCCAATCAACTCAACACGAGCACGAGTAGCACTAGCACCTCGTAGTACATGCTTGCTAGTGGTAGTACGGCGGCCCTCGTGGTTGTACACTTTGATTTCGAATTCGAGCAAGCAATGAGGACTTTGGCTTACGCTCTCCAAGAAGCATATATCTATCAGGAAAAAGAAACGATCTCCTGGCATGTACCGTTAGTAGTACGTGCCCGCTTTACCACTGCTAGTGCTCTCCAGGGGGCAAACCGCAGCAGTACAGTCCTAACCGGTTACTATTAGCAGGTGTGAGCACTACAATAGCAATAGTCTTTACACACACACACACACACACAAAAAAAAAAAAAAAAGGTTCTCGACCCTCGCGATCAGCCTAGACCACAAGATTCAAACCGGCCAACGTTCCTGGGAGAGAGCGAGAGGGCGCAGAAAGGATTTTTCAAAGAAAATTAGAGCCTCGTGGGAGCCTTTGCGCCTTTGCATGCACACACAACGCGATATTCAAATCCAACATGCGGCGAGGGGGTCGGACCCGTCGACGGAGTGATTTGGGTCAGAGCGCAGTCACGCTGACCCTAACGACGCTTTGGTTTTCGTTTAATAGTAAGATTAGCTTTTGAACACGCTCCTCCTCGTCTCCTCTTTCGAGCCCCTCGCTAGACCTTGACCGCTCCCCTCTCCCCGAGTAGGCCGGGGCGGCGGGGGACTCGGGAACGGTCGCCTCGTCGTCGCTCCTCGCCGCTCGCCTGCGTGTCCGTCCTTTCTCGTACCCTGCGGCCTGCGCGGTTGGGGAGAAATGAATGCCCGTGGGGTGCCTCTGCTCGCCGTGCGGGCGGGCGGTTGGGAATTCAATGGCCGTAGCCGACCATTTTGTCACGCACTATAATGCAGACATGGTGTTTCTAACCCGTAGCCGACCTACTCTACTCTCACATGAACTCCTTATAACATCAAAGATGATCGGGCGTTCACGACGCATGCAATTTTTCATGCTGAAAGGACATCCAAAGAGCTCTAGGCAAAAGGAAAAACCGGTGCTCCAAAATATCCATTTTTTTCAAAGCTTCCAAGAGTCTATTCGTTTGTTTTGTCTAGGGCTCATCGAATGTCGTCTCATCATTAATGTTCGGACGCACATCTTTGATGTAAAAGCAATCATGTTTTTGAATATACGATTCATAGGAGGAGCATACGGGCTCGGGGTTAGGAAGCAATTGAAGTTAGATCAATTGGGTAGTCAAAACTCTCTCTTTCAAGAAAAGAAGAAACAATAGTGAGACGTTTCATCAGACATTAACACTGTCGTCGGACGGTATGGAGAATCCTTGCTAGCAGTTTCGGTGGTCTGGTCGTTGGCGGTTTTGAATCCAGGAATTGGAATAGAACGTGGACCTGCGTTTTGGTCCCTTTTTTTTTTTTGAACGGGTCCTAGGTTTTTGGATTATTGTGTCCAATGCGACATCGCCATGCTGATGAAACTGGCACAGCGGTGCAAGAAAGTAAGGATCACATGTCCATCTTCGTTGTGTTTCATCGTAGATCTCCGGTTTGTATGAGGTACGATGATGAGGGAAACATCTTCGATGTGTAGGAAAGCACATATATTCTCATTCTTTGAGCCTCCCGTGTTGTACGAATACGATGTCAATGTCTCTACTCTCAGGGAGGGCACTTGCTGAGGTTCCGAACTAGATTTGATCAACTGTTGTAGAAAGAGTTTCAGTGGCGCGACCAGGACAAATTTCTTGCACTCGATTGGAGTGGTGAAGGTACAGCCTGACTTTCATGTGTTTAGAGGAAGAGATGAGAACGAGGACTTTTGTATTATGTGTCAAGTTTCATTTTCGGTTTGTAATTTGGTCTCTTGAAAACTTGTTTGAACATGTCCACGGTTGCAAGAATATAATGTTGTTGTGTCACTCTAAGAGCATCTCCAACAGGCGCCGAACGCACCGCGCACAAAAAACAGCTTTGCCGCGCATCCATCGCCTGGTTTGGCGCGGCGCGCAACGCTGACTCCAGCAGCCGCGCTAAAATGCAGCGCGCGCGAGCCGCTCTAGCAGCGCGCAAAAATACAGCGCGCGCGACTCTGGCACAAACAACATATGCATTCGAAAATGGAAGCAAAAAGGTCAAACACAAACAAAAATAAATCAAAATAAATAATTCAATTTCGTTATTACAACTCAAACAAACAGTTTATCGTTCAATACAAGAAATAGTGCAATTAAACATAACAAATAGTTCAACAATACAATATCGAACGCACAAATCATGATGCTCTTTGTCGTCCATTCCATGCCCACCACTCCTCAATGAGATCCTTCTGAAGATCATTATGCGCCGCGGGACGTCGAATGGCATGATAGGAGGCAACAAATCGGGCCACCCTTTCAGCCCTCCGTCGCACTCGCACGGAATATCCCAAGAGCTCATACTGAGAGTAGTCTACATCTTGGCCACGCTCATTCTCGATGATCATATTATGCATGATCACACAAGCGTGCATGATGTACCAAAGCATTTCTGATCCTAAAATCTAGCCGGTCCTCTCACAATAGCAAATTGGGTTTGCAAACTCCCAAAAGCTTTCTCCACATCTTTTCTAGCCGCCGCCTGAGCATTGTGGAAATCAAGTTCTTTCTTACCTTCTGGCTTTTTCAACGGCTTGACAAAGATTTGCCACTTTGGATAGATGACATCCGCTAGATAATAGCCATGGTTGTATGTATGGCCATTTGCTACAAACTGCACCGGTGGCAACTCACCATTTGCAATCTTATTCATCAGTGGTGACCAATACACAACATTGATGTCATTCAAAGATCCAGGCATTCCAAAGAATGCATGCCAAATCCAAGTCTCTTGATCGGCCACCGCTTCAAGGATTATAGTGGAACCCTTTTTTTGGCCGTGGAATTGTCCATGTCATGCCTTTGGACAATTCTTCCAACTCCAATGCATGCAATCTATTGAGCCAAGCATGCCAGGAAAGCCGCGAGCTTTGTTCATCGCCAATAGCCTTGCGACGTCTTCAGCATTGGGAGATCTCAAATACTCCTCGTCAAACACTTGCACAATTCCGACTGCGAAGCGCTTGACACACATGATGGCTTGGCTCTCACCCATAGCCAAGTGATCATCAACTAGATCAGCCGGTATACCGTATGCCAACATACGCAAAGCGGCTGTCACCTTCTGAAAAGTGCTATGCCCGAGCTCTCCGGCGGCATTCCTCCTTTGCTGAAAAAGCGGTCATGGCTCGCTAGTTTCTCTGCAATGCGCCTGAACAACTCGGTGCTCATCCTAAACCGGCGACGAAAATACGACTCGGGGTATGTGGGATTCTTCGCAAAATAATGCCTGATCAATCTGTTGTGGTCGTCGATCCTATCCCTCCAAATTTTCTGCGGTGAATCCGGTTGAAAGTGAAAGTCGCCAAAAAGTGGCGGAATGCGGACCCATAACCGAACCACCGTGCTTCAGTTTTTTATTGATACGCATAGCTGGGATCATTGCAAGATCCTCCTTCTCTTCCATATCAAATTCTTCTTCGGAAGAATCATACGACGAACTCATCTACAATGTTCAATACTATGCTATAAAAAACTACAATAAACATGCACGAAATTCATGGCTTTTGAGCAATACATACCTTCTAGGCGTTTTGTCGAACACCTTGCGGGCGCCGAGTGGCAGCAAGCGCGCGGGCGCTGTTCGTCGGAGGACCAGCGCGCGCGAGGGGCGGCGGGACTAGAGGGGGGCCGGAGAAGCCGCCGCGGGATGGGGATAGGCCGGGGAAGCGCCGGAACGGTCGCCGGGTGGCGCGATCGGCGACGGCGGCGCGGGTGGATGGGGGGTGGGGGTGGGAGGTGCGAGCGAGCGCGCGGGAGCGGGCGCAGCAAATAAGCGGCGCGCGATTGAGTTTCGGCCCGCGCACTGAACTACATATGCCGCGCGCGCTGTTTTCGCGCGCCCGCTGGAGCAACTATTCCGGTTGCGTGCGCGCTAAAACGAGAAATTTTGCGGCGCGACGCTAATTTGATGCGGCCGTTGGAGATGCTCTAAGGGGGCACTTGGTGAGGTCATGGACAAGCTATAGACCTGATTTGTTGTTATAGGAGCTTTCGAAGTAAGGGCAAGTTTCTTCCACTCGATTGGAGTGGCGAAAGTTCGAGCAGAATGGTATATGTTTTTAGAAGGATCAATGAGAATGAAGACTCTTTTACTACTCCCTCCGTCAACGTCTTACATTGTGGGATAGAGGGAGTATATTTCAGTTTGTTTTCTAATTGTAATTTGGATCAGCAAGGATTTCTTTTTTTTTGAATAATATTAATAATAGGAGAAACACTAACAGGTGAACCCACCAAGGGACTGGCCTGGCCCCACCTGCTAGACGTTTAGAGTTTCCGCGGCACCTTTGCTTCCCGTTGAAGCCAGTCTCGCTCCCCGCGCCCCAATGACTGGTAGACCCCACCCAAGCTGCCAAACGAAGCTAATGCCTGACTTCTCCCGCCCCGCCACTCGCCTGCGCTTGGCCAGATGCTTCTCCCTTCGCACGCCCACCGCCGTCCTCCTCTTCCGCGCCGCCGGGGAGCGTCGTCGCGCCGCGGCGTTCATGGCCTTATTACTACATCGCCGCGCCGAGCAGGATGCCTCGTCGTCCTCCTCCTCGCCCTCGCCTCCGTCGTCCTCGCGGCGGCCGTGCTCCACCGCGCCTCCTCAAAACCGCGCGCCGGCCACCACCATCGTGAGGAAGGCCACCTCCGGACCGCCGCTCGGAGGGTCACGATCTTCTCATCCCCGCTCCGCCCGCCCGACGGCTCGCCCGCGCGGCAGGAGCTGGCGGTGCGGTCGTGGCTGGCGCTCCCGTGGGACGTCACCGTCGTGCTCCTCGGCTCCCACCCGTCGGCGCTCGCGCTCGCGGGGCGGCTCGGACGCCGGGTCACCGTCGAGGCCGCCGTCGATTCCTCGTGCGGGCACCCTCGCAAATTTAACTCGCCGTCTGTTCAGTCCGCCATGGAAGCTGCCCGAACTGAGGAACTGAGCTGCACCTGCCCTCCTGGTTTCAGGTTCACGGGGACGCCATTCTTCCACTCCATGATCGCAAGAGCGCAAGCCGCCGACGACTCCGACGTCTGCGTCCTCGTCGACGCCGAAGTCGTTCTGCTCCCCGAAGCCGTCACATTACTGGCAGATCTCAGCAAAATTGACCGTGAGTGGCTCCTCGTTTCAGCGTCACGCAACGTTTCCAGCTTCTCCTACAATCTCGCCCACAGTGCGATGGTACTTTTTCCTCTGTCCTTCTATCAACGGCAATCTTAGATTCGTCGAAAACTCCAAGTTGTTCTACTACATGATAATGAAATATTCATTTGATCGATTCCATTAGCTAGAGGAGATTCAAGCTGAGGAATGGGCAGCAGATGGCAGCGACAGGGGGCTCGTTTTCGCGTGGAACAATCCGGGCCGTCCATTGCTTGCAGGAGTCGTGCCTTCTTTTCTGTATGGAAGAGGGGCGCACAGCAGGTGGCTGATCCATGAAGTTCTGTCATCTGAAACGAGGCTCGTCTTCGATGCAAGCAGTCTAGTTCTTGGGCTATACCCCGAAGATTCCACGGCAAAGCGCGGCGCTGGTTCGAGTAGCAGCGGCAGATTACCTGGTGGATCATGGGAGCACGGTGTCAACCGGCATCTCGCTTCGGTTTACGGGTCGTATTGCCGTCGTCCGCCAGGAGGACATCATCATTCTTTCTCCATGCTGTATGAAGTGGTAAAGCATTCTGAAGATTACATGTTGAGCAAAGTTGAAGAGCCTACATTCTCAAGATTTGTCACAGGTAAAGAACAGGATGCCCATGAAGAGGTTGGTGGTAACCCATGGAACAAAGAGAACAATTGCTTGCCTGATCATCTGCCAAGCTATTCTTCAGAAGCCTCTGACGTTCCATATTCATTAGAAATGCTCCTTCGGTTCGTAGCCGACGATAATAAGTCTGTTGTTCTTGGTGTGGCTGGGGCAAGTTACAGGGACATGCTTATGAGCTGGGTGTGCCGCTTGCGCCGTCTCAGAGTCGCCAATTTTGTAGTCTGTGCTCTAGATCAAGAGACATACGAATTCTCCGTCTTGCAGGTAATGGTGAACTTGATTTCATTCTATCATTTTGATTTTTCTTGTTTTCTGTAGTTGTTCTCCTTTTCAAAACTGCCAATTATGCTCAAATATTTCAATCCCTAATTCTAGGGTTTGCCAGTTTTCAGAGATCCAACGTCGCCAAACAACGTCAGTTTTGATGACTGCCACTTTGGAACCCAGTGTTTTAAGCGAGTGACCAAGGTTAAATCGCGCATTGTTCTGGAGATTATAAGGATGGGGTACAACGTGCTGCTGAGTGATGTTGATGTCTACTGGTTTCACAATCCAGTGCAGTTCCTGCACTCTCTTGGACCTGCTACATTCGCAGCCCAATCAGATGAATACAATGAGACAGGTGACTTTTACATCTTAGTGGTTATGGTTACAAATTTGGTTTTGCTAATGCTTCTTCTGGTGGATAACATTGTTCTTATATTTAACTCAATGTGTTAGATTTTCTTGCACATTTCATACCTGATAGCAATGTGCCAGTCTGCATTCAAGAAATAGAATACCTACAAAGAACATTGTGTTTGAGAATTCTCTCACTGTTCTTTGTTCACAGGGCCAATAAACCTGCCACGCCGGCTAAATTCGGGTTTCTACTACGCCCGATCAGACAGCGCCACCATCACCGCGATGGAGATGGTAGTGAAGCACGCGGCCAAATCAAACTCATCTGAGCAGCCAAGCTTCTATGACGTCCTGTGTGGGAAGGAAGGTGTGAACCGACTCGGCAACGACAGATGCCTAGAGCCTAGCACAAACCTCACCGTCGTGTTTCTGGACCGGGATTTGTTCCCCAACGGAGCTTACAAGGGGCTCTGGGGAAGGCATGACATGCGCTCAGCTTGCAAGAAGCTCGGGTGCTTCATCATCCACAATAACTGGGTAAACGGGAGGAAGAAGAAACTCTGGCGACAGATGGAATCCGGGCTGTGGGACTATGATCCTGGCTTCAGGATGTGCTTGCAGAGCTGGGGTGAAGCAAGTAGTAGCTTCACAGTGGCCGAGCAGTTTCACGCGTCTGACGACATGGAAAGTTAGTACCTGACCTTATTGTAGACAGTTAGCTACTTGCCAATGCTAATTCTGAAAATGTTCAAGGATCGACAGCCTGCTTGTTTTGACAAAATGTATAATGTATTGTTTGTTAGTTAATATATGATGTCATGCACACAAAACAAACAAAAGAACATTGTTCAGAGTTCAAACATGAATCACGAAACATAATCAGTAATAGCAATTCATGCCTCTCAGCTATCTTATAATCGGTTGCGGAGACAGCATATATGTTTCAGGTGTTAAACAGGAAAGGAAAAGAAAATAAAAGGGAAGGAAAAACTTACATTTATCTTGGTGGTTCAGACCCTCTACCCCTTCATCTGTGGGTGCTGTAAGTTTCAGAAGCAGGCATTCACTGACAAAAATCACAACACCAAAATGGGACAGTACATTTGCAGGCTTGCAGCTCATTTCAGTTACAATACAAATAAGCAGGCAAGGCAGAGCAAGTGAAAATCCATGCTGATTCGGTGCTGACGAGATCAAAACGTGCTCATTAGAGTTGTTTACATGAAACTAAATTATCTAGAGCCCGCTAAAATAAAGGTAGCATCATCGTCTTCGACCAAAATGAACGGTAGAGGTCTTATGGTAAGAAAGAAAGGTTGCAGCGTCTCACTTCATCTTGGCTTCCGTAAATAGAACATGCTTGTTTACACGCGGATCATACTTCCTGAACTCAAGCTTCTCTGTGATCCGCCGAGGATTCTTGCGCTTCACGTAGAAAAATCCAGTTCCGGCTGCTGAGACGAGCCTGATAAATATAGATGCACGCTTTGCCTTCCCCATCTAGTGGGTATGAACTTGCACAGCAGAGGAAACTGAAAATGGGGCTGACAAACACAACATCAGAGTGGTAATATTCAAGCTTCTGCGACGCCAAAGGCAGACACAAGGAGCATAAAGAGAATATCAGAGCAAGAGAAATCTCATACAAGAGTTAAGAAAGAGACACATCGGGTGAATAGAAGTAAAATAAGAAATTCTCCACACAAAAAAGGGTTCACATTGGTCATACCAAGTTGCATATCACTTGTTACCTGATACACCTACTACAGTTTTGGACATATCTACATACATATCACCTTGTTTGGGCATGATAACGCAACTACCATCCAGTAGTACATTATATCGTACCTTGATCCTTACATACACATATTTAGATTGGTCATTCAGTGCTCATAGGTAGATTGAATGAACCAGTACTGATGCAATTAACGCTTATATGATATACTACGCCTTGAGTAAACCGAATGGTTAATAAGCAGTTGTGTCTACTCCTAATGGACCCATTAGCTGTACTGCATCCTAACGATACAAACCGCATCAACGATATATCTGCTCCCAGGAAGATTGCCCGCCACAACAACAATCAAACTTCTCAGAATCCACAAAGAAAGCTGGATGGGATCGACCCTCCCCGCAAAGAAATTTCGGTTCCACGCGACGACGGCGAGGTCGGGCGGCGTGGACTAGGGCTCTCTATACAAGGATCCCTGATTCGGATCTACAAGGCTACAACATACTCCAAGACTTGTCCAAAATTATTCAACGGATCCTGCCCAGAGATTTACCGTGGAACGCCGCCGCCGCCGCAGATCCCACGAGCGCAGGGGACGGAAATGAAGAAGACGAAGCTTGTGCCGTAGTGCGGCTGGCGGGTGGGACCGGGAAGAGAAAGTAGGGTTTACTAGTATGTCACGCGGTTGCCTGGAGATGCGTGCGAAGGTAGATGGGCGGACCATAGTCCCAGCAGACAAACGAACCGAATGTGCAACTTTTTTTTTTGTTGACTAGAATTATGAACAATGCCCGTGCGTTGCAACCGGATATAAATATTCTAATACGTTAACTCGTGATTTATTTATCAATAATAATGCAATTTGTGTAAATAAATGTTCAGCAAATTCTGCCCGTGATTACCTTATATTTTGATTAGAACTTTGATAAGTAAATTAAAATGGAATTGGTTGAAGGTAAGTAAATTAAGATGATTGATTATCACATACATAAAATATTGGACAAAGAGGTGATGGGAAGACATGTGAAATGGGAATTCTACGTTCTTTTTTTAAGTAGTAGAGATTGATGAGAAAACTTTTGCAACTGAAATGGTCGGCATGTTCAGCATAGTCCTGAAGCACAACACAAGTTGTATAAATTACTCTATCCAAATCATCCTGATTCCGTAGCAAATATCACAGAAATTTCAGTTGAATTGCACACTAAACAGATCAATCCCCGACACCAATGACGGAGCTAGCCGTAAATCACTGGGCGCAAAACACAAATCATCAGTGTTTGAAGGGGCTAGATGCAAAAAATATAATCTAAGCCCTCCTAAAAAATCCTTCATAAATTGATCCAAGGTTGGGGCGGTTGCCCCTCCCCTCAACACAATATTCTTTTTTTGAAGGGGCCCTTAAGCTAGCTGGCTGTTCAGAGGATGCAAGGCGTCCGTCGCTTCCTTGCTCGACACATGGCCTACTATGTTGGAAATTGTGGATACATTCTACCCTCTAATTCCTCTGCCTTATCCGTGGTGCTGCTCACAATGCATATTGAGGCTAGAGAGTAGGGACCTATTTATAGACTCCACTTCCAGGTGTTTTATTATTCCACCTGTTTCCGGAAAGATCCGTATGACTCCTGTGCAATGTTACCAACCACGATAAAACATGCCAGTTTTCCGAGTCTAAATATAGTAGTCCCTAGCACACATGTGTGAGTCATGTGCCATGATTAGATTGTAAATGCGAGATCAACTTCCAATCTTAATCATGTGGGTCAACAGCCTGCAGAGCCGATCCTGCAAAACAAACCCAGCTCTTCCACCATGTGATGTTCCGGGAAAAATATGTACGTACATATAAATTACAGTAGAGTTGATCCCTATTAATTCTTCTACTGTATTCCATCACAGTCGTCCTCGACACCTCGAGTATTACTTCCTCGAGTGAAATTCCGCATCAGTTATTCCCCGTCACAAACATTCATAATACGAGTAATTCCACATTGAGTTAAATAAATAATTACCATGTTGAATAAATGTTGAAAGCCACATAAATATTCAACCGGGACTAAAGGTGGAGCTTCACGTGGTCGCGCCCTTTAGTCCCGGTTCAATCCCCTTTAGTCCCGGTTCTGGATTGAACCGGGACTAAAAGGAGAGGCATTAGTACCGACCTTTATGAACCGGGACTAAGGCCTTTTTTTCTACTAGTGTTCCCCGGTCTGCATGGGAATTAAAGAAGCAAGAAAGACTTGGGTTAGATCACGTGAACCCGCTGCTTGTCTCCTTCATGATTGCGGGCGTGGCAGAGAGCCTCCGAGCCACGGAGTACTAGTCTTCCTTCCTCGATCCGCCGATCGTGTCAAAATCGATTGATTAATCCTAAAATCTAAAAAGTGCACGTGCACTATTCTGTCAGAACCGAGCGGTCGATCGTGCGGCCCAGCGGAGTCTGGTTCTATTTTGTCGGGGCGACTCTCCATCGAAGCCCCCGATTCATTCCTCCCTTCGCTCTCCCCCACCCCGCATCGCCGCCGCCGCCGCCTACCTCGCATCTCGCCGCCGTCCTCCGCCCTCGCCCCCACAACCACCACAACTGGCGTCCTCGTCTCCCCTCGGCACAAGAGAAGAGGAGAGGGAGGTCAGGTGACCAGGTCGGTCAGGCGGCGGCCAGATCCGCCCACAACCGACCGGCGACCACGATAATTCGTCGTCAAAGGAAATGCTTCTTCCACCTCGCGCGCCAGATGAGAGGAACCCTTCTGCTGTTTCCTCGCTCCCCACCCCGACACCACGCCATGGATCGAGCTTCCCCTCCTCCAACCCACGCCATGGACTGAGCTCACTCCCTTCCTAAAGGTCTGCTCTCTCTCTCGCCCATCTTCTGCTGTATCGCTCACTGCATGCCATGGGGGCAAGCATTGCTGGCCATGGGACTGCTCGGCGACAGGGACGTACTGGTGGGCTGCGGGAAGATGCCAGACGGCGCGCCCACTAGGCCTAACTGCCGCGAGGACGACCTCGACGATATGCTCCAGGCCACCCTGAACTTTTGCTGGCTTGGTATTGTTAGGTAGCGCCTTTCGTACAACCTACATTGCTCGTTGATGCAGCTACTGTTTTTGAAACTCTGATCCTACTAAAGAGCAGCAGGTATTTTTTCGGAACTGAATGTTCCAGTTGTTCGAGAGCAAGGGGCTGGTGGAGGCAAACCAAGTCTTGGCTACTCCAGTTTAAGTTTTTGAACATTTCAATCTTCAGATCGTAGATTAGTACTCCCTTTGTCCGGAAATACTTGTCATCAAAATGAATAAAAAGAAATGTATCTAGATGTATTTTAGTCCTAGATACACCTCTTTTTGTTTATTTTAGTTCTAGATACACCTCTTTTTGTCTATTTTGATGACAAGTTTTTTTGGACGGAGGGAGTATTATCTACTAAGATGTTGACTTTGTTCTACAGCATGTAGTCAATGGCATCGCCTATATGTTCTGTAAATTGTAATTTTAGATTCTATGAAGACCATAAGAAAAGTTCACTCTAGAAGAACTAACAAATCAGTTCTCTGAAAACAAAAAAGCAAAAGTACACGAGACAAATTCACTCTAGAAGAACTAACACAAACTGCAGATAGTTGGCCGGGGTAGCTGCAGGTTGAATCGTCGATTTGCAGCAACATCGAGACACAGCGAGGGATGAGATATTAAGATGTTGTATACTACATAGTTGCACAAGGATGTACGAACAAGTTTCATAATATGCAAATCATAGTCATACAATTAGGGTCCGAATAACTGCCACACGTGTAGCGTCGATAGGAACCCGCCCGCACGCCTCGTGCGGCATAGACGGGGATCGGCCCGCACGACCACGTCCAAGCGCACAAAAGCACGGCCCGCACGTCCGGTGTGTGGCAAACCCGCTCGCACTACCCCGTCCGGGCCAGAAGACCGGCTGCCCGCACGACCC